ACACGCAAAAGTCAGTAGCCTTCCTATACACAAACAGTAAATCTGAAGAAGAAGAAATCAAAAAAAACTATCCCCTTTATTATTGAAACAAAAAAAATCAAATGCTTGGGAATAAATCTAACAAAAGAGGTAAAGGACCTATACAAAGAAAACTATAAAACACTGTTAAAAGAAATAGAAGAAGACACAAAGAAATGGAAAGACATCCCCTGCTCATGGATCGGAAGAATAAACATTATTAAAATGGCCATCCTACCAAAAGCAATATACAGATTCAATGCTATTCCAATCAAAATTTCAATGTCATTCTTCAAAGAAATAGAACAATTATTGATGAAATTCATATGGAATCACGAAAAACCCCGAATAGCCAAAGCTCTCCTGGAAAAAAAAAAGACGGGAATGGAGGCATCACACTCCCAGACTTCAAACTATACTACAAAGCCATAATCATCAAAACTGTATGGTATTGGAACAAGAACAGACACACAGACCAATGAACTCGAATAGAAAATCCAGAAATAAACCCACAGATTTATGGTCAACTAATCTTTGACAAAGGAGCAAAGAATATGCATTGGAGCAAAGAAAGTTTGTTCAATAAATGGTGCTGGGAAAACTGGGTCGCTACATGCAAAAGAATGAAGCTTGACCACTACCTCACACCATACACAAAATCAACTCAAAATGGATTAAAGAACTAGACATAAGACCTGAAACCATAAAATACATAGAAGGAAATGTAGGCAAAATACTGCGTGATATGCACATCAAAGACATCTTTACAGACACATCACCCAAAGCAGTGATAGTGAAGGCAAAGATAAACAGCTGGGACTACATCAAATTAAAGAGCTTCTGCACAGCAAAAGACACAATAACCAAAACAAAGAGAAACCCCACCAACTTGGAGAAAATATTTGCATACAACACTAACGATAAAGGACTGATCACAAAAATCTACAAAGAGCTGATGAGACTCAACAAAAACAAAGAAAATAATCCAGTCAATAAATGGGCAGAGAGCTAACAACAAACTTCTCCAAAGAGGAAATACAAATGGCCAACAGGCATATGAAAAAGTGTTCAACATCACTTGCAATCAGGGAAATGCATATCAAAACTACAAAGAGATACCATCTCACACCAGTGAGAATGGAACATATTTAAAAAACTAGCAACAACAAATGTTGGCGAGGATGTGGAGAAAAAGGAACTCTCCTGCACTGCTGGTGGGAATGCAAACTGATCCAACCACTACAGAGAGCTGTGTGGAGATTCCTCAACCTACTAAAAATAGAGCTTCCATATGATCCAGCGATTCCACTCCTAGGTATTTACCCAAAGGACACAGAAACATCAATTCCAAAGAACACCTGCACACCTATGTTTAAAGTAGCACTATTTACAATAGCTAAGCTTTGGAAACAACCCAGATACCCAAAAATAGAAGACTGGATCAAGAAGATGTGGTACATATACACCATGGAATATTACGCAGCAATCAAAAAAGATAAACACATGCAATTTGCAGCAACATGGATGTAGCTGGAAGGGATCATACTCAGCAAAAAAAGCCAGAAAGAAAAAGAAAACTACCAGATGGTCTCACTCATAGCAGGAATCTAGAAAATATAAGGAACCAGGAAAAAGAATAACTGTAAGAAAGAAAATATCAAAATCAACAAACAACTATGAACCAGAGACACACTATGGGGGGGGGCAGGAAAGGAGGGATTGGGGTCAAAATAAAGGGGTTGCAATTGTATGGGGAATATAAAAATAAAATTTTAAAAAAATTATATAAATGAATAAATAAATAAAATTAAAAAAGAGATTGATAGTTTTGTTGGTTCTATCAGCTAAGCTGCAGGCTAGTTAGTTTGCTAGAGAGAAATGGGGAAAGCACTGTGGAAAACGTTCCATGGACCAGGACAAGTCAACATTGTCCTTAAATCTAATCCCTGCCGAGGGGCCTGAATTTTATTGGATCCCACCCTTGAGCAATGCATGCCCTGCAACATTGTTGAAAACAATAAATATCAACCAGAAATGTGTGAGCTTAACAAATGGGTGTTGTTAGCAGAATAGACAGTCAAAGAGGGACTTGCCAAAAGCAGTGTCATCACAAGGTAATAAAGGTGTTGTGCCCTTGAAGATGCAACATCAGCAACTTCACACTATGGGAGGTAGAGGGACTAAATAATCCAACCACTAAACAAGTACACAAGCAAACAACGGTTGCAAATTTGGGAGTGACCAGTAGCTAGATTTGCTATAATATGTTATCTAAAATGCCCAGTTTCCAATAAAAAACTACAATACATACAAAGAACTAAGAAAGAATAAACATACACAGGAAGAGGGGGAAAAAACAAAACAAAACCCAGGAAATAGAAACTGCCTGTTAAGGAACCAGATATCAGATTTAACAAAGACATTAAAGTTGTAGCTATAAATATGTTTGTTTAAAAACTAAAGGGCCTCCCTGGTGGCACAGGGGTTAAAGACAGCCCTATCAAACTATCGCCAGCCACTGCAGCACAAGTTCCATCCTCCCCAACCCTCCCCAGCCAGGGAGCAACCCACATGGGGCACCAGACCTCTCCTGCCTCACCAGCTGCTCCACTCAGCAGTGTATTTCAGTCAGTCTGCCTGTTCTGTACCTGTTCTTTACTGATTGTTCCTATCCCCACTGTGTCTCTGGTGAATCCTCACCACCCATACCTCTGCCCTGTACCCCAGCTCAGTATGCATAAATAAATAAATCTTTTAAAAAAAAAAAAGAAAATCTGAGTAGACCTACAACAGATTGAATTAGCCATGCAAAGAACTACTCACAGAGATAAGCCCAGGCCAAATATCTTCACTGATGCATTTTACCAAACATAGACATCAAAATTACCTGGACACATATCTGGGCACAATTCACCCGCAGATGAATTCTAACAATCATACCAATTCTTCACAAACTCTTCCAAAAATTAGAAGAGGATACCCTAATGCTAAAGCCAGAAAAAGACATCTAAAGAAAACTACAGACTGCTATCTCTTACAAACATAGATGAAATGATTCTCAACAAAGTCCTAGCAAATCCAGTAACACATAAAAAAGAATTTTGAACCATGACCAAATATCCAGGAATGCAAAGTGATCTACACCCCAAAATCCACTAATTCACCGTATCTGTAGAACCAAAATAAAAACTATCTTTTCAATAGATGCAGAAACATCACTGAACAAAATTCAACATCCTTTTATGCTAGAACACTCAATAAACTAGGAATAGAAGGGAAATTCTCCCCTGACAGAGGGTATCTATGAAAAGCACAGAATTGCTATCATCCTTTGATAAAAGACTAAGGGCTTTCCCCCAAAAGGTTAGGAACAATTAGAAGCAAGGATGTAGCTCTCGTGACTTCTATACAATATTGTGCTAATGATTCTTAGATTTCACTATCGAGACCCCCTTTAACAGTTATCGATTTTTTTTTTAAAGATTTATGTATTTGTTTATACAAGCACTGGGTACAGTCAGAAGTGCGGGAGGGTGAGAGAATTCACCAGAGCCAGAGCAGGGAAAAGAACAGACAGACTGACGAAATACACTGCTGAGGGGAGCAGCAGGCACAGCAGGAGAGGTCTGCGTGCCATGTGGGACTTTCTCCAGCGGCTGGGGAGAGAACTGGCACTGCAGAGGCTGCGGGCAGATTCGCATCCCAGCATAAAACCGCTGCGCCACCAGGGGAAGCCATGTTTTTCTTTTTTGATTGAATGCTCCTCATTGCCTGTACCCACTTTCCCCTCTTTCAGCAACAGTCTCTTCCCAAATTTTCATGCCCATTCTTAACCAAATGATCAGGTCAGGGTGACCCCACTTCAGCCCCAGAGGTACACCCTGAGTGGACTTATGCTAATGAATGGACCCCACCCTCCTGGGCATAGTGATTGGTTCAAGATGATCACCCGACCCACACAAGCCAAGAAGAATCGAAGAGATGTCTTTTGGGTCATCTGGGAAAGGAGATCCCTTTCTCTTCCAAGGGAGCTACTAGAGGAGAGACTAACAAAGAAATCTGTCCCTTCTGATGCTATACCGTGAAGATGTAAAGTTTGGCCTGTGCAGACATTTCAGCTGCCAAGAAGGAAGCCAGCCTGAGGTCAGTTTCCCTAGTCAGAGATGGGAAGAACTGAGAGAAGCTGAAAGCAGGACCAGAGTTCTTGTGACACTGTACATTTCTGGACCTTTTGAGTTAATAAATTACCTTTTTTATTTGTCAGGATAAGCCTGCAACCCCCAAACAGCCTAGATAATATGTTCCCCCAAAAGACCAAAAGAAGGTTGTCTACCTTGGGTAGGCCAAAGATGGGCTTTTATTGCTTATAACCAAGATAACTCTAATCTGCTGGCCTCCTTAGCTGGTCTGGGTGCTTCTGGGGGCATATCCCATTGTACCCCAGCCTCTTAGATTAAAGTGTAGTTTCCTGAGTGCTCAATTACGTATCTCATGACTAAGGTAGTCCTCCCTTATCCATGGGGGACAGCTTTCAAGACCCTCAGTGATGCCTAAAACTGAGGATTATACGGAGCTTAACATGGTTTGGTTCTTTTTTGCCTATGCACGCAGACCTATGATAAAGCTCAGTTTCCAATATGGGCACAGTAAGACATTAACAACAATAAAACAATGTCATGATAAAAAGTATGTTAGTGTGGGCCCTCTCTCAAAACAACTACTGTATATATTCTCTACCCTCATGGACCACCAGTAACTAAAAGCAAATCCTCGGAAAGCGGAACCTCCCATGGGGGTGTGGGAGTGGCGGTGACTGTAATGTGTGAAAGCTGCTGAGTCTGTGTTGCTCATCACTAGGTCCAAGGAGCTAGAAAGTGTGTGGACACCCAACGGATATTTGTTGAATGAAGGCAAGTCACCCAAGTAGGCTCTGAGCACCTCCCCTCAACTCTGCCAAAGGAAAAGACACTGTGACTAAGCCTGCATGACATTTTATTCTCCTGAGAGGCCAAGGTCAGTAGTGGGAGTTAGGTGAGAGGAACTGGAGGGTAGAATCTGGCTTTAGGAAGGAAGGAGCTGGCAGAGGTTGCTGGAATTTCCGTGGTCTTCCCCAAGGTGGAGGCTCACATGGGACCTGGATTGGAGAGAAGAGACCGTTGTGGGCATGTTCAGAGGGTGTTCAGGGGATACAGGGGGTCAGAGTTACCAGTCCCTGCTCAGCATACCCAGAGTCACATCCTAGCAATCAGTCAGGAGCCAGTGAGGTCACGGGGCTCTGACGGTAAAAGCCTCAGTTTGCAATAAAGGAAAAGTCAGGGTCTTCACACTACTTGGGGGCCTCAGGTCTGCCAGCTTCAGTCCCAAAGCACGAGTGAGTGCTCGGTGGGCTGCCAGAGCCAATCACGAGCCCCTTCTTAGCCCCTTCTCCTGCAGTGTGGCCTGTTTCCCCAGGCAAGGCTGGGTGGCCCTGAAGGAATAGACCCAGAGAGCCCTCTCTGCCCATCAGGATAGCCAACCCAGCTCGCTGGCCTCTGAGATCACAGGAAAGAATGTGGCCCTGGCTCCTGTCCCCAGGGACCCCAGCTGGGCTAGGGGATTGAAGTCTGATTTGGGCTCTGATGTCTTCTGAATATCACGATCTCAGAACAATTTCTTTGGTGTCAAGCCTGTTTGATATCATCTCATTCAATTCTCATTCCAAACTCAGAAATGGTACAATTGCCCCCCTCAAAGATAAGGAGACAGAAGTTCAGAAAGGTTAAGCAACTTGTCCAAGGTCACACAGTTGAGGCAAAATGAAGACCAGATTTTACCCCAGGATTGCCTGTCTCCGAAATCCCAACTTTTAATGAGTATTTTTCAAGGATTTCTAGCTCAAGCTCACCTGCCCAACTTCTCCACACTCTCTGTGCTGGGAATAGGAGGAGTGATGCACCATCACCAGGAAGTTTGGAGGAACACATATGACCTGATTGTGACAGGTGTATTTTTCAGCCATGTGCACATGCTGGGGGAGGCTGGTGCCCTGAGGTAGGAGTCCCTGCTGTCACCTCTGTACTTACCTGCGCAAGGTTTGCACATTTTTAGGTCCACACAGATGTCATGAGCATTTTTGCCTTGCATGATGTCCTGGGAGATACGACTGAGAAATTTGTTCATGAGGTAACTGCAGGGCTTTTTCAGTATAAACATCCAACGGCATACACGGGACGCAGCCTGCGCGATGGTGTCCTGCAACAGCAACGCCAGGGCAGACATGGGAATCCAGCCAGCCCCGTCCAGCTCTGCCACCCTTTGTGTCTGCACAGCTCTGGCCACAAGTGCTGGGTGGCCCACTAACAATGGAAGCAGAGACAAGATCGGGCCCCGTGCCTGCTCCCCAAAACCCCAGTCTGACCAGCAGGGGCTCTTGAGAGGACAGTTGGCTCAACCAGGGTCTCAACCCCCTGGACCCCTGTCCCTATCTTTGGTTAGAGAATGATGCCCATGGCTGCCAGACCCACATTAAAGGCTCTGCCTACATAGCTTCCTGGGTCCAGGACAGAATGGGGGGTCCACCAAGAGGGGTTCCACCTGGAGGTTCACCTAGGGGAGCTCCACCTGAGGGGCAGGTGAGAAGGGTCAGAGCTCAGAGCCTTGACTGATTTGATTTTGAGGTGTCTTCTACTGCCATCTCAGTGGACAATATATCTGAGTTTTCTCAGTTGAGGGAGAGCCCTGCAGTGCCAGATTAGGGGAGCAAGGAAGAGAGAGGGAGGGTGGAATAATGGTCGTTGGTGTTAACATGCTCTCAGCTTCCATATGATCCAGCAATTCCACTCCTAGGTATTTACCCAAAGGACACAGAAACATCAATTCCAAAGAGCACCTGCACCCCCATGTTTAGAGCAGCACTATTTACAATAGCTAAGCTTTGGAAACAATCCAAATGCCCAAAAATAGATGACTGGATCAAGAAGATGTGGTACATATACACCATGGAATATTACTCAGCATTCAAAAAAGATAAACACATGCAATTTGCAGCAACATGGATGGTGCTGGAAGGGATCATGGTCAGCGAAAAAAGCCAGAAAGAAAAAGAAAAATACCAGATGGTCTCACTCATAGCAGGAATCTAGAAAACCTAAATAAGGGAGCAGTAAAAAGAGTAACCCTAAGAAAGTAAAAATCAAAATCAACAAACAACTATGAACCAGAGACACTCTATGGGGGGTGGGGGGTAGGAAGGAGGGATTGGGGTCAAAATAAGGAGGTTGCAATTGTATGGGGAATATAAAAATAAAATTTAAAAAAGTAAATAGGAGGGGGAAAATAAATAAATAAATATGCTCTGAGTGTCAGAAGTGGAGCTAAGGGCATTTCACTCGGACTTATTTAATAGGTTTAGGAGGTTTACAAGCTAGCGATTATTAGCATCCCATTCCGCAGATAGGAAAATTGAGACTAAGCACCTGCACAAGCACGCAGCCAGGAGTGGCAGATCTGGGATTTATCAGTGTTGCCCAGAACCCTCTGGAACAGGCTCTCAAAGCTATACCATTAGGGCAGCAGGAAAGGTCCCTTTTCTTGGGGCAAGTTTCCTTTGAGAATAGGATAGAAACCAGGCACACAGTGCATATCTGCCCACTTTCCCACTCCCAGTATATCACCAGTGCACAGGATTCCCTGAAGCACATCCATGCGAGGGGCTCAGACCTCGTCCTAAGAAGTTCTGGCTCAAGTTGAGATTATCCCCACCCCCAGCAACACCCCAGGACAGCGGTGGTAGGGTCCACCAAGTCCCCGCCAGCTCCATTTACCACAAGCCCTCTTTACCTCATTTGGCTGCTCTCCCACCATTGTCTCCAATTTATGGATTATCTTTTTACAGATTGTGCAGCTGATGCGCAGCCCCTCACTTTTGGTCAGCAGCTCATCCTGTCAGGAAAGGAAGCCCACATGGTGGTCTCTCAGACACTCCAAGAGCCTCTGAGGGGCCAAAGAAGAGGTGGTAAGGGTGGAACAAGGGCAGACAGGGTCACCTATGCTCCTTCTGTATTCTAGGGCCTGAACCAGGCTGGACAGCCCTTGTCCACCTTCCTGATACTCTTAGGAGGGCAGAGAGACCTCAGAGCTTGCCCCCAACTTTTCCAATCCACCACTTGACCCTCTTTTGCTGTCTGGTCAGATCTGGAGGAGCACCAAGCAATATACAGGTCACCTCCCTCCACCCAGAAATACTTCCCAGGGAGGTAAAGAAGGGGTTGCAGGAGGTGACCACAAGCCAACCACACATGTACCTGGAAGTCCTCCTGGATCAGGCCCTGGCAGGACAGCTCTCCGTTACATGGGCCACTTGGTGCTTGGTCATAGTGCTCAGAGGAAGAAAGACCTAGGGAAGGAAGAGCATCAGCCTCACTCAACAGGTGGAAGGGAAAGAACAGTCTAGTTCTCCTGGATGACAGGGATGCAGAGGGGTGACTAGGACCCAGGACAAAAGCACGGAGGCTGTCCTCCAGGAAGCCTCTCCTCACACTCTGCTGTGGGCTGCTTCAACCCATCCTCAGCAACAAAGGCATGCTCTGCAGTTCATTCTGGAAAGCCAGAAGGAAAAGACTACCCTCTGCCACTTCTAGACCTCTTCTCTGTCCCTTTCTGTTTTGTCTCTCTCACACACAAATATACACGCTCACACAAACATACACAGATTTGGGGTTGATCTAAAAGAAAGCTTCTCTCATCTCTCTTCAAGAGATTTCCTTTTTTCTTTCTTTCCAAAAAGAATTCATGTCAGGGGCCCAACCCAACCCATACTCCCTTCCACACTCCCAAGGGCCTCATAGCCGCCCGAGGCCCTTGTAGCTCACACTGAACCCACAGACTGAAACAGAACAGGGTATGTGAAACAGAGAGTCTTGACAATATTCGTTCACAAGTCCTGCTGACATAATCCTAGTCAGTATGGTCCAGAAAAAAATGTCACACCCACTGATGAGGACCAACAATCTTTGACACAGACAAAGAGACACAGACCCACAGAGGAAATGGGAGTGTGGGGGCATCTCTCAGGCCACACAGCATGGCCAGCAAGTTGGCACTAGAACTCCCTTCTTCGTGCTGTCTCTCACCATTGACCAGCTCACTGGGGTTGATTCTGGCTCTGTGGGAAAGACCCAGCCACCATGAGGATGGTGAAGGGCCCAGGGACCTAGAGTGCCCATAGACCTGTGCTCAGGAGCCCAAGAAAATGGGTGTGGGAGTTGCTGTCAGGATCTACACTAAGGGGACTGTCCTTACCTGGGGTGTCCAGGAGCACAGTAAGGAACAGGAGAGCCCAGGTGGTCATGGTGGGGCAGAGAGGCCCAATGAATTACCTGAGGAGACACACTTAGGGCAGGATAGGCCAAGGGATTTACACCCAGCCTGTTTGACTCCAGAGTCCAAGTTCTCACTTGCTCCAAACTGCCTCTATTTCTAGGTTTCTCCCGCAGAACTGCTTCCCTTTTCATAGCCATAAACTACTACTCCTCCTCTCATGGGTGTACTATGCTCTGGACACCTTGGTCATTGTGTGAACCCACACTAACAAAGAAGAAAGGGGCCCGGAAGATGAGTCATGTCTTTCTTTTTTGTGGGGACTTGGTAAAACCAGATTTTCCAATAAGTTTTTGTGTGGGGTATTGAGGGGTTAGCATGAATCAAAGTCTCGAACAGGCCTCTGGGGTCCCTGGTTTAGAACTTGTCGGTAGATCTTTCATCTTCCTACTCATGGAGTCCCAGGGACTGGTCAAGTCAGGCCCCCAAAGTTCCTACATGAAGGTTATTGTTTCTTTATCTCCTTAAAAATTGTTTTGCTTTCTTCAAGGTCATGAAGAAATTCTCTTGTTTACTTCTAGGAATTTTATACCTTCAACTTCTACCTTTGGGTCTGTCCTCAGAACAGCTGGGTTGGACTTCTATTGTTTCCCACCTATTTGTGGAAAAAACATTCCTTGTTTTGAAATACTTTGACATTCTGGTCAGAATTCAAGTCACTTTAATGTGAATCTGTTTCGAGATGATTTATTATAGCAAATACCAATCCAGTAATAACAACAACAACAAAGCAAACTGATTTTTAAAATGGGCACAACACTTGAACAGTTAATATAATTCCTTCCTGCACAATGGAAGTTAATGATAGTCAATAAAGATTTGGAAAAATGCTTAACATCATAATTCTTGAGACAACTGTATATTAAAACTACAATGAGATGATGGCATGAAAACAGGTAAAACTGAAAAGATAAGCTCTCATTTATATGTGGTCTCTGAAACAAAAGAACTTGTTCATGAAGTGAATGGAGTCAGAGACCAGAGGCCAAACTCAAGATCAAACATGATGGCCAAGCTGCTCGCGTGAGTATCAAACCCAGCATTTGCTGGCAGAACCAGTTCCCAGCATTAAACAGAACCAGAATTAAAACAAAGCCCATTATTTTTGAATAGTCATGTTGGCCCCCAGGATTTCCCCTTTCAGGGAGGAAATTTTAAACTTAATCTATACCTTCCAGAAGAATAACCAATGGCAGCCCCCACAGCACAGTTCAGAACCAACAGTTCAGTTTAAATGCTCCCAACCCGGATGATCCATTCGGTGATGATGTGGCCGAGTAGTGGAAGACCAAAGCCCAAGCCACAGAAACAGCTAGAGCATGGAAGAGGCTATGCACCATAAATAATATTTAAATCCATCTGATCATCAAGTGGGCTTTGCTTCTCCTGTTTCAGCAAGACATCTTCCTTTCCTGTTTCCATTTTGATGGACACAGTCTTGGAAGCACTGCAGAATAAAAGCCCACACATCTTTAGTCCTTCAGAGATTAAATGTTCACTAGAAAATCTGTCTTGTCCTGATGCACTGCTCTAAAATAAATCTTGAACAGAGACTGGAAATATCATCGGGGTGTTTTGAAACATTTATAACAGGGGCCCCTCTGCTTTTATTCATCACCCCCATCATCATTTAAGTATAAAGCTCTCTGAATGAAGGTACTTGTCAGGGTTAGCTGCAAGGCTGTGAGTGTTTTTTATTTTATTATTTTTTGAGATGGAGGAGGAGGTAGTTTTATTTTAAAGTTATGGGCTCTTTTCCCCTCTGATGGTAGCCTACTGCATCAGGTAAGAGCAGCAAGCCAGTCCTTTAGAATATGCCCCCCACTCCCTGTCTAACATGGGTATAGGTGGCAAGCTTGACTGTTTGAACCAAAACAGAAACATCCAGCAAATATCCCAGTCCTGACTGATACTACTGCGACTTCCCTGCCAACTATAAAATCCTCCTTTCAAGATAACTCTTCTGATCATTATGGATGGCCTGTCTAGAAGCCTCGGAAGTCTTATGTTTTAGTAAAATATTTTTTGTTATTAAAGAAAAATCATAGGACAGTTTGGTGGTTGCCAGAGGGACAGGGTGGGAGAAATGGGTGAAGAGGGGTCAAAAAGCACAAACTTTCAGTTATAAGATATAAGTTCTAGGGACGTAACAGAGAGCATGATATTTGTACTTAATAATTCGGTATTGCATATTTTAAAGTTGATAAGGGAATAGAGATCTTAAAATTTCTCATCAGAAGAAAGCAATTTGTAACTGTGTGATGATGAATGTTAACTAGACTTACTGTGGTGATCATTTCTTTATATAAACAAATCATTTCAGTGTACACCTGAAGTTACTGTAAATTTATGTTAATCATATCTCAGTTTTTAAATGACTGATACCTAAAATGCAAGGTTGTTGTGAGATACTAAAAATCATATTAAACAAGGGGTCAAAAAATATGAAAATCTGCAAAGACAGTGCCAAATACTGATGAGGATGTGGAGTAGATATGGAACAATGGGTACTTGAAAGTTTTTGGCAGGAGTATAAATTGGTACAATCATTTTGCAACTTGGCTTGACAATTTTTCTTGAAGTTAAACATACACATACCTCTGACTCTGTAATTCCACCCATGCTAACTGAAAAATACCATAAAGCAAAGATTATCCAAGAATGTTTGTATACATTATACTTTTAGATATATACTTAAAAGAACTGAAAACAGATTAAAAGAGATATTTTTATATCAATGTTTATATTAACATTATTCACAATAGCCAGAAATGGAAACTACCCAAGTGCTCACTACCAGATGAAAGGAAAAACGGTATGTGGTTTATATATACAATGGAATACTATTCAGCAATGAAAACGAGCTTATACATCCTACATCCTGGATAAACCTTGGAAACATTATGCTAAGTTAAATAAGTCAAAGGCGAAAGATAAATAAAGTACAGTGGAGGTTACCCAAGGGTGGGGGTAAGGAAATGAGGAGAATGAGGGAGTTACTGCTTAGTTGTTATGGAGTTTCTGTTTGGGATAATGAAAACTTTTTTTTCAATTTATTTATTTATACAAGCACTGGGTACAGTCAGAAGCGGGAAGGTGAGAGAATTCACCAGAGCCAGAGCGGAGAGCAGAACAGACAGATTGACGAAGTACAATGCTGAGGGGAGCAGTGGGCAGCAGGAGAGGTCTGCGTGCCATGTGGGATCCTAGCCCCGTGGCCGGGGATTGAACGGGTGCTGCAGAGGCTGCGGGCAGCTTCGCAGTCCAGCTCTCAACCACTGTGCCACCAGGGGAGGCCCGAAAACATTTTTTTTAATGAAAACATTTTTGCAAATAGAAAGAGTGATGTTTGCACAGCATTCAGTAACCTGAATTATATGGTTAAAATGGCAATTTTTGTACTGTGCATACTGTATCATAATAAATATTTTCAGAAAAAGAAAATGTGCGCAGAACCTTTTTCCTAAGAGCCCAAAATTAGAAGTAAATCAAATGTCCATCAATGGGTAAATGTATAAACAAGTTAAGGTACAGCCACACAATATAAAAAACTACTTGGTAATAAATAGAAATGGACTACTGATTCATGCAATAAAATAGATGAATCTCAAACACTGAGTAGAAAGGGGCCAGAAACAAGACTATATTCTGTAGGATTCCACTGACATCAAGTTCTACGACAGGAACAAAAAGTCAAACAATGGAAGGCAGTGAAACTGAAATAAAATAGGAAGTTGAGAAAGCAAAGGATGAAGAAGCAGAAGCAACATTTATCACATCTTAGCAGCCCATGGGAAATTTAACTAAAAGATGACTGCTCTTCCATTAGAGAATTCTCTTTTTAATTACATGAAAAAAACAAGCCCCTCAATTTAACTGCTGTTCTTGATTATATCTTGGGAAATATTATTAAATATTCTCATGCTTGCATAAGAAAGAAAAACACCTATCAAAATTGTTTGGAATATTTTTGCTTTGCATTTATCTGTCTTATACTTTTGATAAGCATTCCCAGTGTGTCCAGTTTCAGGGATTTTGTATTTTTAGGTATCAGGTTTACTAAATGCTACCTCTACCTATTTACAACAATTATTTCCTTTACTAAGGACTTTTCACATTATCCAGTTTCTTTGATAGTTTGTGTAGATTACCTAAGTTTCTCTAAAAGTCACCAAATGTCCATTTAAGTATCAATAACCATTTTTATTTCTTTGCAGTCATTTTAATTGGGATTTCAATCTTTGATTATGTTTTTGGAGATCCAGCTATCTAGCAACACCAGAAGACACAGAACGTTTATTCTTATCAGAGTCCTTTTGACATGGGCATGCAGGGTCACTGCCTGTCATTTTCTGGAATGATTTTAGGGGCAGGAAGGGCACAGAGCTGGTTCTGTGATCCAGCAGACAGGTAAAGGAGGAGTCCTGGAGCCGTCGGTGGCTTTCATTTAGCTTTACATATAGTGTGGCAAACAGCTACACTGGCAGACACGAATGCCAGCAGGCCTCCTAGCCCCCTGCAAGTCTTCACTCTGGGCTTCTCTGGCCTTCTTTCCCCCTTCTCTCTCACTCCCCTGCTTCTCTCGGTGACTATAGCCAATACTCCTCCCATGGCCCACAGAAGTAAACAATACAGCTTACAACAGTGTAACAACTGCAGGTGCCCCATCAGGCAGGGCAATCCTAATGGTGGGAGGGCAGAAAAGCCTGAAAACCATTTGCCCTACAATTCTATTGATTTTATAACCTCTGGTCAGAAGTTATAACCTTGGCTCTTAGGATAACTTTCTATATGAGTGAGTCTATCCTTCAGTTTGCCATTCATTCTACTCTAGTTAAACTGTGAGCTCAAAACAAAAAGAACAAATCTCTGCCCGAACTCATTTTTTTTTTTTTTTTGGCACCTGGCTACTATTCATGCTACTTCAAATAACTGTCCTTTTACTTTTGAGGATGGTTTGAACTTCAAAGTTT